AGGGCTTTCAAAAAATGGTTCTGAAGAACATAGGGGCAGGACAGGAATAAAGATGCAGATGTAGAGAATGGACTTGAGGACACAGGGAGGGGGAAGGGTAAGCTGGGATGAAGTGAGAGAGTGGCATGGACTGATATATACTACCAAATGTAAAATAGATAGCTAGTGGGAAGCAGCCACATAGCACAGGGAGATCACCTCAGTGCTTTGTGACCACCTAGAGGGGTGGGATAGGGAGGGTGGGGAGGGAGACGCAAGAGGGAGGAGATATGGGGACATATGTATAGCTGTAGCTGATTCACTTTGTTATAAAGCAGAAATTAACACACCATTGTACAGCAATTATACTGCAATAAAGATGTTTAAAAAATAAAATAAAATAAAAAAGGGCTTTCAGATTAGTGAAAACTGTGTCAGTGTGAAAGATAGACTCAGAACGATGGCTAGGGACTTTGGATTTCATGGACAGACAAGATAATGCAGAATTCTTCAAAGCAGATCTCACAGCCTTGGCTTGAAACAAGGTCAGGGTGCACAGACTGACAGCAACATGCTGTCAGCACTAAGTGACCTCAGGTGACAACTGAGGAAACACACAGGAAACACACAGACACTCCATCTTTGACATCTTAGAAGACTATGGCTTGGTGAAGGATAAACTGTGAGGAACAAAGAGCCCTCCAGCTTCTATGTCTGCCAAAGAAGAGTGAAGACATCACCGTCCACCAAAACTCTCCATCGACTGGCTTCACTGGGAAAAGGGAAACTTCCAGCCAGCCCAGAGCCACTCACAATGTTCACAGGGGATTGATAAAGTTTCTGGAGGCAACGAGCCTCAAGTGCTCACCAGCTGATTTGCCTGATCCTACCCTTACTATCCTTTCCCATAATATGGCTCAGGAATAATATCTCCCTCCCTCAAACATTAAAAAAGAAACAACATTAAAAAAGAAATCAGCATGCAACTTATGTGAACATATAGTATTTAAAAGGAAATATCTCACAGAAGTAGATGAATAAAACACATCGGAAAATTTATATTGCAAAGCAGATGAAAATTAAGACAATGTATTTCTCTAAGAAGCAGTCTGGCAACATATATTAATACCAAATATATACACACACTTCAATTCATGTAGGAAATCATCCTGTAAAATTTCATTGTCCATTATGTTAATCATGAATATTTGAAATATGGAGCTATTTCATATATGGAACTGAGGAACTAAAATTTAAAAACTGATATTAATTTCAGTTATTGGAAAACTTTTAGGTATTATCTGGAACAACCTGGGTATGTAAATTTATTTTTCAGTTGTAAATTTTATGAGATCTAATTACAGATTGTCTTGCCAATGAAAATTTAGCTTCTCAAGATAAGCTCTAAGTATAAAATATACACTAGATTTTTTAAAGATTTAATGCAATAAAAGGAATATAAAGTATCTCATTGAAAAAATGTATTACTAATATATAATAATAATATATTGTTAAAGTTAATTTTACCAGTTTCTTTTTACTTTTTCAATGTGGTTACTAAAAATTGTCAAATTACATGCAACTTGCATTTTATATATATATATATATATATATATATATATATTTTTTTTGCAGTACATGGGCCTCTCACTGTTGTGGCCTCTCCCGCTGCGGAGCACAGGCTCCAGACGCGCAGGCCCAGCGGCCATGGCTCATGGGCCCAGCCACTCCGCGGCATGTGGGATCTTCCAGGACCGGGGCACAAACCCACGTCCCCTGAATCAGCAGGTGGACTCTCAACCACTGCACCACCAGGGAAGCCCTACATTATATTTTGATCAGATAGCACTGCTATAGAAAATGAAAGCACTGGTATATAAACTGACAAGCACAGTTCAAAGTAGCCAAACAAACAAACCAAACCAAACCAAACCAAACCAAAACAAAACAAAACAACCAAACCGAGCCAAACCAAAAAACACCAAACAAAAACAAAAACAAAAAACTGAAAACAAAGTGAATGCTTGTGCATAGAGTAATGACTAGTATACATATATATAATATGTCGTGGGCTATTATGAAGTCTTTGAAAAGAATAGTTAAAGTTTGCCAGTGGACTAGAATATCTACAAAGTATTTTTATAGAAGAAAAGTAAACCACATAAAAATGTGAGTAATACCAGTATTGTAAAACTACCATTCCAATCCTCAATAGATAGATATGTTTGTAAAATATGATCAGAACATAAAAAAGGTACAGAAAATGATGCATCAGGTTATTTAACTTGGGTTACCTCTATGTGATGAGGCAGGGGAGAGGAAGAAGGAAGCAAGTAGAAAGAAAATAAAACCTCTAACTCCCTCCCTCCCCCAGAGTGTATATCATCTCTTTTATGTAAAATCACACACACTCCAAGTGAAAAGAAGATGAAAGTGATATGTAAATCGATTCATTCTACTTGTGTAGAAACAACAAATCTGCCACATTTTTATATGTTTAGAGAAAGATGCATGTACTAGACCATTAACAATAATCTCAGGGTGTGGTACTGGAAAGAGAGCTGGGGTGAACAGGGTGGAGAGAAAGTTGTGTGTATGTGTAAAATTGCCACTTTTATTAGAAGTGAATATTAATTTTTGAATTTGAAAAGGAAGAAACTTAATTAACTCTCAGGAATAAAATAGAATAGAAAAATGCAAACAGTTACAAAGAGATAAAAGAGTGAGAAAGAAAAATAATAGCCATAGCAAACAAAGGAGAACCAGCATATGAATAATTGGCATCCCTGACACACTATTCCATAGGCTTTTATGAAGGATGACACCAGAACATAGAGAACAGAGGGAAAAGACACATAACTATATTTTTTCTAAAATAAAGTCTAAATACTGAAAGGGCACAGTAAGTTCCAAGAAAAATATGATACAAATGATCAATAATTAGAAATATCCTAGTATATTGTACTTTGGAGATAAAGAGTCCTTTGGGCATTTAGGTTCCTACTTCATCATCACCACCATCACCACACACACACACACACAAACACAAGTCAACTATTTACACATGAATCAAAAAAAATTACTCTTGTGCATGAACAAAAATGAAAACACAAATAAATTACTCAAGGTATTCCAAAACCTTTTTCAAATTTTTTCTGTTGGAGAAGTGGCTGAACTCAAACAGGAATCCAACTGCAGTTTAGTGTTGGTGGATTCAACAAATTGCAGCAGTGTTTCAAAGAATATAGGCTATGGTTTCCTGCTGGGATGACCTCACCGGAACCGTTGACAAGAGTGCTGGTGAAAAGTAGAATAAAACAGTTAGTTGAACCTTAGAAAACAGAAACAGTAGAAGAGCAGAAGATGACATATTAGAGATTGCATAGGGCGAGAAGCTGATATCCTGCCTCACATTCCAGTTAGGCTGGGTTAAGGACAGAGGCATCAGAGAAGTAGTTTTGACTCTTAAATCCTGTTTGGCCTGAAAGACTCACCTTATTTCCTCTAGAGTAAAAGGATAAAGGATAGAAGCAATCCTTATAAAAACACGTGCACATTAAGAAGGGCAGATGGAGTGGTGATACTGCTTCTGAAGATAGAGACTGTACAGAATGGGGGTGGCTGGCGTGGGTCACTGATGGCCCCTCATCCACTGTAGCATCACCATCATCATGTTGTCAGGGAAGCCTGCATTGCTTGATACCCTTGAAAGGGAGGCAGTACCTAGTAACTACTAGGGCATGGGCTACATGGGCAGAAAGACCCAAATTTTCTTGGGTCTTTCTATCTTGATCTTGCTTGCACTCATTTTGCTTGGGTAAGTGACGTTGCCTCCCCAAGCCCAGATTTTATCTAATGCTTAAAAAAGCAGTAGTGCCTAACTTATACAGCAGCTGCAAGGTTTAAGTGAGCTAATTCATACAAAGCACCTAATACACAGCTGGGGGCATATTAAAATGTTTGAGGAGCGCTGGTTAGTGCTATGGTTTCTAGTCTTAGTTAGTCAAGATGAAAGGTGGTTAGAACTGCCAGACAAGTTCTTATATTAAGAGTTATGAAGTTACAGAAATAAGTGGTTGGGGTCTTTTGGTCTATTTTTATTATTAATGATGGATATAAAGAAGTTATCATCAAGAATACAATACCTGCTCAATAGACTCTGGCAACAAGATACTACCTCGGTTGTGTTTCTAACTGAGCTGGAGTTGAAGGCATTCTCCAAAATGTGATGACAGTTGCTGTCCACAGGAGTGCTGGTAAGCATGCCTGGAAGTGGAACAGAGTTCTGTTTATTTAATTAATGAAGTCACTGAACTCTCCTTCTAATCTTGGCTTCTCCACCATGCTCCACACATTTCACTTCACAATCTGCTTAATGGCAGCTGTGCCTCTCAGCTCTCTGCAGAGGCACCGTCCCCCCAAAGCTGCCATCCTCTGAGCACAGGAAGACCGGACACAGAGGATGCAATGCAGTACCTGCGACGCAGGCTGTCATGAAGCAGGCGACGGTCCCCGCAATCAGAGCTCTCATTCCTCCTGCGGCAATGTCATGCTTTCTGGAAGGAGCTATGGATGCTGGGAAATGTGGAAGCAAGCATGGCAGATTAATGTTGAGCCTATTGATTAGAATTCCAAATTCCCAGCCTTTGAGAATTGTTCTGGGGCTAGAGTCTCAGGTCTGTTGACTTTTCTTTTTTTAAACTGAGCTGGAGAATTCAAGATTCAGGAGCTTAGTGATGAGCTCCACGTCCAGAGAAGTTTCTCTGGTGTAGGAGAACTCACAGTATGTTCATGAGGGCATGACAAGGCAAATGGGTTTCAAGGAAGGATTCCAAATATCTGCAACTCATCTGTCACCATATCCTTCTTTGCCCATGGTGGCATAGAATTAATTAATCATGGCATTTTCCCATTGAATTTCCACTGGCCCTCAGAATCCTTCTCTAGCTGGTCATTATAAATCTATTGGAATTGGCAGACAAAGTGTAATCTATTTGTCATCTTTGAGTGGAATAACACCTGTACATTTGAGCAAATTTTTCCCGACATTAGCTTGAATAGACATGGGAAAAACTACATTGCAGAGCAGGGATAAAAAATAGACCCAAAAGAATTTATTGCTGTTGCAGGGCTCTTTTTTTTGGACACAAATAATGTTACAGAGCAACATGGAGATTGGAAGAATGTTTATATCATATCTGTTGTTGGAGAATATTCTTTTCACTTACTGAGTCCGCCGATCACTATTCCTAGGGAACCAAAATTGGCAAAGCCACAGAGAGCATAAGTGGCAATTGCCTCAGCACGAATCTAGAAATAAGCATAAACACACAGATGTATATATGATGTGACCCATCTGAGTATATCTGATATCCTAACTGGGCTTTCTATTCTGACTATGGAATCAATATTGACAAATAAATGTACAGTGTATGGTGTCAAACACCTGTTGCTTCCTGGTCTCTTTTTTCCATCTCCCCTTGAATTTTTTTTTCTTTTTTTTTTTGGCTGTGAGGGGTCTTCGTTGCTGCCTGTGGGCTTTCTCTAGTTGTAGCAAGTGGGGGCTACTCTTCGTTGCGGTGCGTGGGCTTCTCATTGCGGTGGCTTCTCTTGTCATGGAGCATGGGCTCTAGGCGCGCGGGCTTCAGTAGTTGCGGCACGCAGGCTCAGTAGTTGTGGTGCACGGGCTTAGTTGCTCTGCCGCATGTGGGATCTTGCTGGATCAGTGATTGAACCCGTGTTTCCTGCATTGGCAGGCAGATTCTTAACCACTGTGCCACCAGGGAAGTCCTCCCCTTGAATTTTCAGGGAGGGAAAGGGGCTGTGTGGATTCAGAGACTCTCCATGAAGTTCTTGGAGTTGGTACTGTTGGCCTCTATAAATGCTATTTTCTGCCCGATGATAACTCTAATATTCAGTATGACCTGACCACTTGCTATATTGTGTCAGGCACAGTACTAGCTGCTGACAATACAAAATTGGTCCCAGAAAATACTCACATTACATTTATTTGACAAAGGACTTATTCAGAATGTATAAAGAACTGTTATAACTCATTAAGAAGACAAGCACCCAATAAAAAACATAAAGAGATTTCACAAAAGATATGCAAATGGCCAAAATAAGCACATGAGAAGATGTTTGACATCATTAATCACCAGGAAAATGCAAATTAAATTAAAACAGCGAGCTCACTACACATCCACTAAAATGGCTAAAAAAGAAGGGCAACACCCAGTGTTGGCAAGGATGCTGAGCAACTGGAACTCTTGTACATTGTTGGTGGGAATGTAAACTGACACGGCCTGTTTGTAAAATATAAACATACTTGGCAGTTTCTTATCAAATTAACATAACAGCCTGTATGACCCAGTAATGCCACTCCTAGGAATGTTCCCAGGAGAAATAAAAACAAGTGTCTTCAAGAAGACTGTACGTGAATATTTATAACAGCTTTATTCACAATAGCCCCAAGCTGGAAACAACTCAAATGCCGTTCAATTGGCAAATGGATAAATAAGGTGTGGATATGCATTAAAAAAGAATACTACTCTGCAGTAGAAAGGAAAAAACGAATACATGCAACAACATGAATCCTAAGTGAGTCCATTTATATGAAATTCTAGAACAAGCAAAAGTGATCTATAGTAAGAGAAAGATCACTGGTTTCCTGGGACTGGGTTGGGGTGGGATGGGGTGTTGTTGACAACTGGCCATGAGGGAAGTTTTCTAGGTGTGGTGGAAATGTGTGATATCTTGATTGTTTGTGGTCGTGGTTACACTGGTGACAGATTTATCAAAACATACGTACCCCCAAAATAGGCTTTTTTTGTATGCAAATTATACTTCAGCAAAAAGGAATTATCTTGGTAAAAACGAAGCTCACAGATACCAGAGGGGCTCCTTTCAGCTGACTGTGGTGTGTGCTTGCCTTTCTTTGTTCCTCAGCTCTGACCAGACCATAGGAATGTTAGGGAGTGGGAGAGTGAATAGTCCTTTCACAGGGCAGTAAGAAGATGGCAGGTGAATTCTTGGGAGCGTGAGCATGACCCTCCTTCTCTATTCCAGTAGGCAAGAGGTGCTGCTCAGACCAGACAATCTTCCTCAGGCTGAGGGGCTGATTATGGGAGGCTTGGAAGATTCAATAGGCTCGGTTGTTCACCAGAGGCACAGCCAATCTGGCAAAGGCACCTACACAACCGAGGCAATAATTTTCTTTTCCAAAATCCTGAGGAAAATCTATGATTTGGTTCAAAGAACAAACCTTTTCTTTTTTCTTTCACTAACTGGATTTTTAAAAGCTCACATTCAAGACTCAGGTGCTCATGGTAAGTTTTTTTTTTTTTTTTTCATGGTAAGTGTTTTGTTGATTATAAGGCTCCTCTTTGCTTTCATAATTTCTGAGAACTCCTTTGTTGATATTCTCAATCAGTGTGCATATAGTGGGCAGGAAAAAAATATTTCAAGTATTCGAGCAGTCCGCTGTTTCTGGAAAAGCTCATCATCTTTGTCCCCTGCTCTGTCTAGTGCTTTTCATTTAGTTCAGTTGGCTTCAAAAATAGGCAAGCTTATTAAGAGACCATGAGGAGGGAGATGGCATAAAGTGCTTCAGTTTCCTCTTTCTCCTTCTGGGGATGTGTGGGAAAGGGATACACAGATGTGACCATGTAGGGTTTTATGATAAGAGGAAAAGGAGGCTGGGATGATTCCACTTTGCCTTTGCCCATAAATGTGCAGGATTATGTGATGGAAAGACATATACCATATGATATCACTTATATCTAAGTGGAATCTAATCCATCCATAATACATCTTCCAGCTCTCCTTGCACAGGAGCAAAGGTGCCACAAGGACAGTCATTGTAGCATTACTTCTAATAGCAAAAAAATTGGTAACTGTGTTCATCAACAAGGGACTGGTTAAAATAAGTTATGATGTGCTTATACTGTGTCACAGGCATTGATATGGCGTGTGGCATCCAAGATATGTTACCAAGAGTAAAGAGCAACACTAACAGCAGTGAGCATAACATGGAACAGGGAGAGGAGGTGAATGGCAAAAAAATAGGGAGGATGACTTCCTTTTCCCTCCACATCTCTTGTACCTTTTGAATTCTGTACCATGGTATGTTTTATGTGTAAACAAACAAACATGCAAAGTATTATATTTAAGAAGGAGAAAATGATGAAAATGGTGGAGTGATAAAGAGCTCATTCTGGGGACAACGTGTTACATACACATTTCTCTTATTCTTTTAATTGAAGTATAGTTGATTTACAACGTTGTGTTAGTTTCTGATGTACAGCAAAGTGATTCAGTTTTATATATACATATATATATATATATTTATTTATACATATATATATACACACATATATATATATTCTTTTCCATTATGGTTTATTACAGGGCATTAAATATAGTTCCCTGTGCTATACAGTAGGACCTTGTTGTTTATCAATTTTATATATAGTAGTTTGTATCTGCTAATTCCAAACTCCTAATTTATCCCTTCCCCCTCCTCCTTTTCCCGTTGGTAAACATAAGTTTGTTTTCTATGTCTGTGAGTCTGTTTCTATTTCGTAAATAAGTTCATCTGTGTCATATTTTAGATTCCACTTAGATGTAAGTGATATCATATGGTGTTTGTCTTTCTCTTTCTGACTTACTTTACTTAGTATGCTAATCTCTAGGTCCACCCATGTCACTGAAAATGGCATCATTTCATTCTTTTTTATGGCTGAGTAGTATTACATTATGTATACCAACCATACCTTTATCCATTCATCTGTTGATGGATATTTAGGTTGCATCCATGTCTTGGCTATTATAAATAGTGCTGCTATGAACACTGGGGTGCATGTATCTTTTCATATTATAGTTTTGTCCAGATATATGCCCAGGAGTGGGATTGCTGGGTCATGTGGAAACTCTATTTTTAGTTTTTTGGGGAACCTCCATACTGTTTTCCATAGTGGCTGCACTAATGTACATTCCCACCAACAGTGTAGGAGGGTTACCTTTTCTACACACCCTCTCCAGCATTTATTATTTGTAGACTTCTTAATGATGGCCATTCTGACTGGTGTGAGGTGATACCTCATAGTTTTGATTTGCATTTCTCTAATAATTAGTGATGTTGAGCATCTTTCCATGTGCCTGTTGGCCGTCTGAACCTACATATTCTAACTGCTTAGATAGAGGTTGTCAGTGGGCATAATGCAATGGATTACACTGGGTTTTTGCCTCATGGACCCAGATCAAATGTTTTAGTCACGTGGTACTTTTTCCAGTAGATGGTGGGACACTCCCACCACTTGTTGGTTGGTAAACAGAAATTGTAGGAACTCATCCCCATTTGGTTGATTGTAAATAACAAATTGGGAAAAACAAAATGTTTTCCCCTTTGTGACTCAACAATAGCAGAAGTCATTGAGCTCATATCTCCAAATATTTTCTGTGGGTCTGCCTCTGGTTGGGCTCACTCCCAACCTAAATCAGCTCTACTGTTCTATTTCTGTCCTCTTAATAACCTGTTCACAAACCTGCTTAGCACAACCAGAACTGAGAGCTTCCTTTTAGCAAAACTACATTCTCCAGGCAACTGCCAGTTGGGGATGGAAAACATTTCACTTAATTTAGCCTATTCTTTACTTTTGGCAGAGAAGCAAGCTAGTTTGTGGTGGCATCCAAACAATGAGGACATTTGGCCAAGCTCCATTGCGTGGTCAGTTGAAGAATGAACATTTGAGACGCAGGAGACCTACTGTCCTAGAGCTCTTGTTCATATCAGATGTGTGGGTCAAAATGCCGCTGACTGTAAAATACAAATCAGTACTCTCCTGGAGTTTGCTGTGATATTTGTGTGACAGGTGGGAGGAAAATTTGCATGTTTGGTGTTTGGGAGGCTGGGTGAGATGGTGGTGGTGGTCAGAGGTGGGCAGTGTCAGTTAAAACCTTGGGCAGCATGCTTTCCCTCCCCGTTCCTTTTAAAGCCAAATACCTGCCCAGGACATTAATTCCAAATGGATTGTTTTAATGAGTCATGGTGGTGGTCAGAAATGTTCACCATTTCCCTAAGAGTTTCCACATGTGACAATTCTGTTCTTCTGGAAAGTAGAAGTTAGAGACTCAGCTGCAAATATGGCTTAAATAATGGCCTCCTCCAAGTTCCCTCATCCCATTCAAGGCCAAGCAGACATGAGCATCTTCCTGCAGGCTATGGACCCGAAATCCTGACATAATTATAGGGTGCTTGTCTGAAAGGCCCTGAGCTTTTTCTCTTCCCTCATTCACTTGGAGAGTAGTTACTGTGTCTCACTGTTTCTTTTGATGTCCAGGTGCTATGCGGCACTTAGGCAGTTTCTAAGAGTTCTTAAATAGGAAGGAAGAGTCCTTCCTGGTCATTAGACTATGAGCCCCACGAGAGCAGAGGCCTTATCACTCATTCAACACCGTGGCCTCCGTACATAGCACAGTGCTCACAGAAGACATTCCATAAATATCTGGTGATTGATTCCAGCTCATATGACTCTGGGTTTGTATTGATAGTGCTCAAAGGTAAATGATCACAGTGGTAAGGATTAGCTGCGTTTCTTTCTGTACACACACACACACACACACACGTGCGTGCGCACAGACACTGTGATTAACTCAACACAACTGACAATTATGAGTCACTGTATATTATGATGTCAGAGATTTTGGGCCTGTTTCCTTCCGACGTACCCCAAATGCCTGGCATGGTGCCTGACACACAGAGGCACCAGCAGCTATTTGATGAATGTATGTGTGTGATGAAGAAGTATATTGGGGGGAAGAATTTACTCACCGACATATATTGCTGCACACCATCCACAAATTTGGGTCCACCCTCTTGCCTTAAATGGATCAATTTTGAGAGTTTCTCATAAGCCACAAATTCATTGAAGAATGTCTTATAACCTATGAGTTTGGCAACCATAAAGCTGTCTTGCCAGTCCACTCCCATCATGAAGGAAAAGGGCATGAAGATGTAGGAGCATATTACCTACAAAAACCAAAAATGGATACTTTATTAGAGTAGTGATTTGCTTCTGGTTCTTCAGCCTCACCCTCATGACCAGATTGTTCCCGCCCCCTCTGTGTGTCTTTTAGGCACAGAGATCCCTGTGCATTCTCTAGCCTGTCTATATCCATTAGGAGTCAAGGTTGAAATTGGGTCATTTGAAGTAACCTGGATTTTGGGGAATGGGGTCAGGACAGAATGGTTCTGTGTTGGGATAAGGAGGGTGATAGGAGACAGCAAAAGGGGTGTGGGAAGAGTGGGATTCATGATAAGTTTGTACATTGTATAAGAGTGCACTATACATGTTAGGAAAGGCTGTTCACAAACCTATTTTATTTTTAAACAAAGATTGGCAGAAACAAAAAGGAGGAAAAGCATGATAGAATCATACCTCGAAACTCAGTTGTGGGTAGTCAAACATGTTTCCAAACCAGGACAGGGCTGAATTCATAAAAGACAACATGGCTAGGAAGGCAATCAAATTCACAACGATGTTTGCCACCAGGGGAATGGATGAGGATGCCCCCTGTGCTGCGGCTTCTAGGAGATTCTTTGAATCACTTTATCAAAAAATAGCAGTTCCAGAATTACCAAGGGATTATCAGTGGATGGACATCACAGGTGTAGAAATGGCATAATCAGAGCTCATTCAAATGGAGAGACAAACTCTCAGACCCATGTCCTGGCTGAAATACCTGAATTCCGTGAAATCATGATGGGATTTATAATTGTTGAGTGTAGGTGATGGGCATATGAGTGTCTAAATGTTATACTACTCTTTTAATTTGGAGGCGTTTATAATAAAAAATTGGGATAAAAATATTACAGGTTTTAACAATGATATTTAATTAAAAGTAGCTTCCAGAGAATATTTATAAAATATTCACAGTAAAAGAACTAGCAATTCAAGGAAGGCCTGTGTATCCACCACCTCATTTAAGAAATGGAGAGTCACATCAGCTTTGAGCACCCCCTACTTCATCTCATCTTCTTCTAATATCAGAGGTACTTGGCCCATTGGAATTTGCTTATGATTCCCTTTCTTTTCAATTTTCTTTATCCCTACATAATACATTGTGTCAGTTTACATACTTGCTAACTATATAAGTGAAATCCACATATTCCAGATATATTCTTTGGCAACTTGCTTTTTCACTCATGGTTATGACTCTCTCTACATACAAACAAGGGATGAATCTCAGAAACATATTGGTTGATGAATTCTGTTACTTAATGACATACTTCTGAATACCCTAAATCCCTTAGTTTTTTCCACCCTCTTCTCTTTCTTTTGAACAGGGCAAAAAGTAAATGAACCAAAGAGGGCTTTGAAATACCTATATCGGGACTTCCCTGGTGGTCCAATGGTTAAGAATCCGCCTTCCAATGCAGGGGACGTGGGTTCGATCTCTGGTCGGGGAAGTAAGATCTCACATGCCGTGGGACAACTAAGCTTGCGGGCTCTAGAGCCCACGCATCACAACTAGAGAGACTGTGTGCCACAAGTAGAGAGCCTGTGTGCCTCAACTACTGAGCCCACACACTACAACTAGAGAGAAGCCCACCTGCTGTAATGAAGAGCTCTCGCACCGTAACTAAGACTTAATACAGCCAAATAAAGAAAGAAATATTTTAATAAGTAAATTTTAATAAAAAGGAATACCGATATCACACTTATCTTCTCTATTATATAAGAAACTTCCAGAAACAGTGATCCTATGGCTTTCTAACAGTCTTAAATCATGGCCCAATGAACCCTATGCTATATTTAAAATTAAATATCTCTTCACCTAAAACTAATATAATATTGAAAATCAACTATACTTCAATCTAAAAAAGTTAATTAAATGAAATATCTACACTGAACAGTCAAGGAAATGTATTGACATTTAGGTATTGATATTTAGAAAAGATCTCCTTGAGTACTGAAACAAGATATTTTGGGTGAAGTCTACATAGTCATGGGAAATTAAATTCACTTTAATTCACTGTGTTCTCTGATAATCAAATTCTTGCTGTACTTTGGACTGGAGCAAACCTCCCCTCCCACCAACCTCCTGCTTGTATAGGCAATAACTAATAACTAGGTGAACGTGTCCCACTTACCCATTTTCCATTTTCATGGCATTCTTGAGGGTTATTTTAGGTGTTTCTGTCTCAGGCCAGAAAAGTTTAGAAACAGCCAACGCCGCAGGTGCAGACATAACTGAAGCAGTTAACAAGTGAGAGGACGAAACCTGTGATTTCAGGAGAAAGAAGACCAACTTAGGTTTAGCTTTTCTGTTGTGTTCCGAATGAATGGCTCAAATGCCTTACAAGGCAGGCATTGATTACGTGCCAGAAATCAATATTTCTTTGGAGGCTTGGAAGAGCTCAAAGAGCCACACGCTGGGTATCACCTTGAGAGGAGGGAGGAAGTTATACCATTTGACCACATCCTTGGGGAGAAGCACAAAACCACAATCTGAGCATTTCAGAAGAGAATTAATTAATCCTGTGTTGTAGAAATTTTCAAGGAAGATAACTCTACCTTTCTGTTGTTCCTCTGAATGTTCATACAGTCCCTAAAGCTATTTCATTACATCATCAGTTTAGATGGTGGGTATCTGGGGTACAGGCATGGGTACACCCCTCTCCATTTTCCTTTTGCTTTCCTGATGTCCTTTGTGTCCCTACATAATATGTGTTTATCCAGAGTCCCTTTAATCTGTAAGCGATTTGTTTTCCTCTTTGCAGGTCTACTTAAACTCTTCCCTCTTCCCTTCCCACATCCTTATCTTGTTTCTGGATTCTCTTCCCTGTATTTTCAGAATTATAGAATCTGCACCTGCCTCCCCACTCCCATTCCACACAGCACAGTTTTGTAGGTAGAATTCCTACAGCAATCCATCTGGGGAGTCAGTCAAACTGGTATTCCTGAGGTCTCCTTCACCCTTTTTTTCTTCCCTCTTCCTACTGATTCGCTCTGTGAGGCTCAGATGAAGTCCTGGAATGAAACTTGCCTATCTTGTAAGAATTCCTCATCACCTGGACCACACAGCTGCTGTGTTATTCCATTTCTCCACCAGGGGTTGTAAATAAGCCCTGTGCTCAGGGCATGTGCACCAGTTACCATAACGTTCTTCAGCTCCATCCCATAGACCCCCTGCTTTCAAACTGGGCTATACATTGAAACCTGAGGATTGAAAAGAAACACTGATGCCTGTGTCTCGTCCCAAGAGATTCTGTTGAATTACTCTGGGGTAGGGGCCTGGGCATTAGGGCTTTTAAAAGCTCCCGGGTGATTCTAATGTGAAGTAAGTTTTGAGAATCAGTGCTGTAAGCCAGGAGTCAGAAAATGTGTTCTGTAGAGGGTGAATAGTTTTGGCTTTTAGGGCCACAACTACTCAAGTCTGTATCATAAAAGCTGCTTAGATAATGAACAGGATAGCTGGTTTCCAATCAAACTTTAGTTACAAAAAAAAGGAAGTGATCTAAATTTGGCCCATGAGCTGACCACTGAACTAGATGGCCTTTAACTAGTGTCAGTAATAGGTTTTTATTTTTTTTTTACTTATTCAAAATTTCAGCCAAATTAACCTCATAATATGATTTCATTCTGCTATGGGTGGATATAGTTCACATTTAGGTGGCAGAGATATGAGAGTGAAACACCAAAGCTCCTTGGGGTCACTCCATTCAAATGCCAAAGAAACTGTGACCAACTAGACAGCAAAAAGAACACTCTTTTGCCCTCCTTATCTGGCAGCAGTAGTAAAGGAAAAAGCAGAAATAACAATAGCAAAGGAAGAAGAGGTTTCATAAATTAATCCCCAAACATTCTTACCCCAAAAGAAATGTATGCGCCTAAGACACTTCCAGCAATGGTAGAGAACCCAGCGGTCATGACCGCGTGGAGTTCAGACTTGGTGAGGCATGGTAAATATGGTCGGACCAGGAGTGGAGACTCTGTCTGGAAACAAAAAGTGATCAGATTAAACGTTCCCTTATGAGGACATGCTACTTTACTCAAAATTCCATTCTCTACAGCAGTATTTCTAAGAGTGGACTTCAGATCAACTCTATCAGCTTGACTCAGGAACTTGTTTGACATGCAAATTCTCAAATTTACTGAATCAGAAACTCTGGGGCTGGGTCCAGCAGTGGTGTTTTAACAAGGCTTCCTGGTGGTTCCGATGCGTGCTCATGTTTGAGAACCCACACCATCATTGTCTGGGTCTTTTGGACTCCAGGGCAGTGCACATACAGAGTCACGTGTGAAGTTTGCAAGGCCAATTCACATAAGGCTCTCACCTAGCCTAGGATTGGACTGTGATGGCTTAGTACTCTTTTCTAAGGTTGGAGCACCACGCGCCAAGTAACTGCCCAGTGGCCTGGCCTTTTGAACTGTGATTCCCAAACCTCTGTGACTTCCTATCTTCCAGCTTCATCTCAACAGACCCTAAACCTCTTTGCTGATACTACAGGGAAACAAGACACAAGTATGAAAAAATACCAGCAATAACATATATCGGTGCCCACAGGCCCATTCCTAATTGAGAATCAGAGACCCCCCTCTTCCCCTTGCATGGAAAGGAATCAATTAGAGTGTAGTTGTAAAGGCTTGAGTCCCATTAAGGAGGGCAGGTGGCCTGCAGCATGGGCTCTCCATAAATAATAGCTGTACTTTTAGCATATTAAGTATCAAATTGAGCACCACAGAAGCATGTGTGCAATTTTACAATTTTCCCCTCATTATTTCTAATTGTGCTATGAGATTGAGTGTGTTGAGCTTCAATTTATGGACCAAATAGAAACTCAGTACATGAGCCCTCTTACCCTGCAGGTAGGAGTAATCAACTCAAGATGGTGCCCTAATTAGTCCTGAGAGATTTTATGGCTATAATTATAACAATTTCAACTCCTGGGCAAAGAAGTATGGACCCCACTCTAAAGACTTTGCTCCAGGCTAGTAAGTTGGGCTTACCAATCAGAAGGCTCAGCCTGCCTGGAGTAGTTGTATAAGTCTACTGATCTGGAGCCATGTGTTTTTCTGGGTGACTTGATTTTTGCTTTGAGTTCAATTTCTTGGCACAGCCGTGCTAGCAAGTATTCACACTTGGTTTCCTTGATGTGTGATTCCATTCTGCCTGAAGCCATATATCCTGAATGATGAGGATGATTATTACCATTTCCTTCTTATCTACCCCTTAGGAATGCTGCCATTTTGAGGGACAGAACTTGGCAACATACTTCTTTGCTTAAATGGACTTTGGGCAAAAGAGCATCTATCAGGACTTCCCTGGTGGCGCAGTGGATAAGACTCCACACTCCCAATGCAGGGGGCCCAGGTTTGATCCCGGGTCAGGGAACTAGATCCCACATGCGTGCTGCAACTAAGAGTTTGCATGCCACAACTAAGGAGCCCACATGTCACAACTAAGGAGCTGGTGAGCCGCAACTAAGGCGGCCTCCTGCAGCAACTAAGACCCGGTGCAACCAAATAAATAAGTAAATAAATAAATATTTTTTTTAAAAAAGAACATTTATCCATGTGATGGATAAGGAAGGTGAAAATACTTTTGCTCATCAGCATTTTTCTCCAGGCTCAGCAAAGAGACTGCTCAGATAAGTTGAGAATGAGCTTAAGTATTTATATGGCTGCATGGTGTTGGTGGAAAGCCTTTTTGGTCTCTTTCGTTGCCACAAGCATTATACTACAGAGTGTGAGGCTGTCTGTTACATGTTTGCAGCTTCAGGATAAATGGTGAACTCCATTTGAGTGGATGAGCTGCCTAGCCTCTGATGGGTGGGCCAGAAACCTCAACAATTCAGTTAATTCAGAAAGGACTTGTTGAGAATCTATACATGAGAAGCCCTATGCTTTGATAAAATGATTCAATCTTTCTTCCTCTCCATAAATTTTCAAGGACCCAAATTCCACACTAGTGCATTGATACTCTTAGAAGGGCGCTCTCTCTCTCTCTCTCTCTCTTTCTCTCTCCTTGGAATCTGGACATTGTCAATATTGAGGGTTCATTATCTTGACACCCTTCCCCCTACACTAAAAGAAATAACACCGTCATATTTTTTTATTTCTCTTTCTGGAAAGAGTATCCATTTTAGCAAGTGTTTTGTTTTTTGATATTACAACTTACCTGTCCAACAAATATATTGCCAGAAGCAACTACAGATTCAACAGGAGATGTTCCCATAGTCACTAGCATTATCCATCCAACCTAAAAGGCAAAAAAGGATAAAGTCAGTAAAGAGCTATTTGTATACACAGAACTTCAAAGTAGGGATAAAAATCTTTAAACTGGAGGAAAATACTGAGGCCTTCAACAATTGTACTAAACTTGAGTATACCTTATATAGTCCATAGTGCAGGCTGATCAAATCCTATTTGAGTGGTAAGTCTGAGTCATTGTATATACTTTGAACACTATACAGTGTCTATTGAAATGTCTATTTCATACAAGTAAAGTTTTTGAATGTCTATTGTGTACAAGTAATAAGTTGTAATAATTGCTAACAGTCATGGCAGTCTTCACAGCATTCCAGGCACTGTTTTAAGCCATTGTTCTGAGTAATGCATTTAATCCTCACAATAAGCCTTTGAGGGAGGTCCTATAATTAGGCCCATTTTACAGAAGAGGAAACCAAGGCACAGAACAATTTAGCTGTTCTGTCAAAGTTTGCCCAGCTAATAAGTAATGGGTTGTAGTTGAGGTTTGGCCCTTTCTACTTAACTCTCAAACAAACATGGTTGATGGTCCCAATTTGTAGTGGTCCTTCCAACCAGAGACTGTGGTGCCCACCTCAGAATGGGGACTTCCTGTTGCATCCTCTCTCCTTCCTTCCTGCTTCGATGTGGACACAGGAATGCTGAACGTTTAAACTGACAATTAGAAAACTATGCGCCCTGGTGCTCTTGCTGAAACTTTTAATTCTGCTGGTATTCTGGCTCTCTCTCTCTTTTTCTTTTTTAAAATAAATAAATTTTATTTATTTACAGGGATCAAAAGAGGGCTGTGTCTGTGCCCAAGCCCTGTATACACTGCCTTACTCTCATGTGCATTCAAACTAGCTTACAAGTTTCTGAGTTTTGTGATCTAACATAATGTAGGACTGACAGCTGCTGGGGCAGCAGAACTGAGGTTAACTTTTCAGACCTAAAAAAAAAAATTTGTGTGCTTACAAAAATCCCTCAGGAGAAAAGATCAGCTTCCCCTTCTTGCTTTGATTCTCTAGCAACTCCTAGACCAGAAGGGTCCACTTTCGTTACCACCTGAGGATAAGCAGTGACTGTGTAAGCCTTGGGCAGATAGCCAAGATGAAGGGACAATCAGGTCCCCATCTCCTGGAGTCAATTCTGTGGCTAACGGAATAACTGCTTCACGAAGATGCTCAGTGTGTTGCAAGTCACAGCCCTATTAGAAGTCCTGGAGATAAAATTCCCTCTGTGGACCCATGTAGGATTTTTGGGTTTAAATCTAATAACTTGGGGTGGGTGTGGGTCTTGGTACGAAGGGAAAGGTACTTTGGAAAAACCCAGATAAAAGGCATTCAAGAATTTGTCCCTGCGATAATCAGCTCTACACCGGTCACCCACTGCCTTCTAGTCCTGGTACCTTTTTAATGATCCACTGCATCAATCCAAGGTAGTACAACATGGACATCACAGTGCTGAAGAAAACCATGATGGGCAGGACCTGGGGGTGGTGGTGGGGAAGAGTGGTCACAGGTTAGCATTGGCCCCAGCAGTATTAGTAGCTTTCAGATCAGTCTCCTTTCTGCCTCCTTTTCCCCCTCTGAAATGTCATCAAAATACTGGAAGCTCCTCTTGAACTAAACAACGTTTTTAACAGGCAACTTCCCCATCTACAGTCTCTTACTCTAATTTGTTCTTGAGTCTATTTCATAGGAAACTTGACTTAAAAAAAAAATCCTGCTATGATGAGCTTTTCTTACTTTAGTTTCTAAGAGAAGGAATGACGTTTTTGGGGGGAATTTGTAATAATTAGATCAAGAAACTGAAAGCCACTGGCAGATATTCTTCTTGTTCTGATATTAAACAGACATGGGCTTCACTACTTATTAGCAAAGTAACCTGGGTCACGATTAAGTGTGAGCTACCTCAGATCCTTATTCACAGTAGTGACACAGTAGGTGCTTAAACAATGCCTTGTATAAAGCAAGCATTCGTGGATTTAGCTTTTAGAATAATAACTATTTTACCTATAGATTTTTGAATCACTATGCAAAGATTAAACTCTGGAAACTAGTTTACTTCTGTGTTAACAAAGGTGGTCTTTTTCTAGATCCGACTTTTCTGATGCTCTCTGCATGCCTTCAATGCAGCCTGTGTGTCTACAGGGAACAGTTTCTTCCCTGCATAGACCACACAGGGCTATGGTCTGGGTCCCTCCCCACCCCTACTCCATTGTTCCCCTTCCCCTCTGTTCCCAGCTAAATGGCCAGGGACAAGCTGCCACCAGAGACACAGAATGGCCAAGGACAATTTGCACAGGATCTAATTTAGAAAAATCTATTAATAATATATATTAAAAGACTTTTTGTGCCATTATTCAGAGCTCGCTCACTTATGTGATTTTATTGGCTTTAATGGGCAGGCAGAGCCTTCCTGAAAGCTTCAGGGAGTTAAAGGGGCTCATCTCCCCAATGTTCCCACAGGAATCTGCTTTGGCAGAAAGGATGGAGGCTACTGCCCTGGGGGCAGACGGTGGGGGGAGGTCTGAAGACACTGATGCAGTCTGGGCAGCAAGTTCCTCCTTCTCCGTGATATTATTTTTTGTAGTTCTGGATTCAATTCATGACAGGAGCATATTTCTATCTCAATTTGTAAACATTTGACCTTTTAGAGATGGCTTAGTTATCTCAGCACCAAAATATCAAATCAGCAGTTTAAAAAAAGATTCAGCATAGCAGTTGGCCTAACCGATGCCGAGGTAATTTGGAGGTAAATTTGGAGTCCCCGAGTGAGAAGAAAATGGAGAAGCGTAAGAACAATAGCACACCACAAAAAAGAAATCTGAAGGAAAAGCCAAATGCATCTTTCTGACTCATCGACAAGGATTTGCAGGGACTTCCCAGAGGAAGATGAGCTTCCTAGGGCTGGGAGAGGCCTGGAGAATCCATTAGGCCTGAGCATGGGGCCAAGTTGCCAAGTTGCCTTTCACCTGTAAAATAACATCCCTCCTTTGGTTGGGAGGAGGCCCAGCTTGCAGGCCTGCTGAGGAGAAGGCTGTGCTGAAAGACAGAGGGGAAAGGTTAAGCAAGGGGATGGCTCTGGAAGAACAGAGCTTGATGTGAGTGACCAGCTGTCCCTGTTTGTCTGGGATTAAGGAGTTTCTTGACTGCAGGGCTGTCACTGAGCTTGGACTGGGGAGGCATTAGCAGCCATATGTCTATTCATTGCCAGGGACCTAATGTTCTTTTCCCTGAAATCTCAGATACTATTACCCCATATGATCTTTTTAAAAAAAAATTAATTAATTAATTAATTTTTGGCTGCGTTGGGTACTGTTGCTGTGTGCGGGTTTTCTCTAGTTGCAGGGAGAGGGGGCTACTCTTCGTTGCGTGTGTGGGCTTCTCATTGCGGTGGCTTCTCTTGTTGCAGAGCATGGGCTCCAGGTGTGTGGGCTTCAGTAGTTGTGGCGCACAGGGTTAGCTGCTCTGCGGCATGTGGGATCGTCCCGGACAAGGGCTCGAACCCGTGTCCCCTGCATTGGCAGGTGGATTCTTAACCACTGTGCCACCAGGGAATTCCCCCCGATATGTTTTTTTTTTTTTTTTTTTTTTTTAGAGGGATGGCCACTTCCTCTTTTTTTTTTTTTTTTTAATTAATTAATTTAATTTATTTATTTTTGGCCGCACTGGGTCTTCGTTGCCGCATGTGGGCTTTCTCTAGTTGCGGTGAACGGGGTCTACTCTTCATTGCAGTGCGCGGGCTTCTCACTGCGGTGGCTTCTCTTGTTGTGGAGCACGGTCTCTAGGCACGCAGGCTTCAGTAGTTGTGGCTCGTGGGCTCTAGAGTGCAGGCTCAGTAGCTGTGACACCCGGGCTTAGTTGCTCCGCGGCATGTGGGATCTTCCCGGACCAGGGATCGAACCTGTGTCCCCTGCATTGGCAGGCGGATTCTTAACCACTGCGCCACCAGGGAAGCCCCAGGCATACCTTGTTTTATTGTGCTTTGCTTTATTGCGCTTCTTGGAGGTTGTGTTTTTTACAAACTGAAGGATTTTGGTAAACCTTCGTTGAGCAAGTCTGTAGGCGCCATTTTTCCAACAGCGTTTGCTCACTTTGTGTCTCTGGGTCACATTTCGGTAAAATTCTCACAATATTTCAAACTTCTTCATAATTATTATATTTGTTATGATGATCAGTGATCTTTGATGTTACTATTGTAATTGTTTTGGCATTTTTTTAGCAGTAAAGTATTTTTTAATTAAGGTATGTACTTGTTTTAGACATACTGCTATTGCACACTTACTAGACTACAGTAGAGTATAAACATAACTTACATGAACTGGGAAACCAAAAAATTTTTGACTGGCTTCACCGCGGTATTAATTTTATTGCGGTGGTCTGGAACCGAACCGGCAATATCTCTGAGGTATGCCTGTGTTTCAGTATTCCTGACTACCTCTAGATGTTTCCCTTAATGTTACTGTAACAAAATAAAATGTTTTCAGTCCACTGACTTCAGGTAAAGGAGAAAGCCCAGTGATGGGCTGTGTCCCTATGACATGCCTGGCAGGTATATGCCTGGGTTCTGATCAGTTAGGTTCTATCTGAACATCTACAGAGAAGTTACTGAAAAGGGAGTGTCTACATAGAAAAAAAGTGTTTGGCTTTTACCTTAAATGCAAAAAAGTGGTCTTCATATTTCTCACCAAAGACAAATGAGGAGCCGGCATCAGTGTAATCCAGGAACGTCTGAGTTAAAGAAAGGAAAAGAGCAGATCATTACAAGCACTAAAGAGGTAGTTACCATCCACAGAACCTACGGCTCTGCAGAGGGTGGGGACTCAGAAAACTTGTGGGATAGACTTGGAGAGTTAATTTTGTCACCTCCCCCCCCTCCAGTGGATGGCCTGGAAGTATATCTTAGAACTATAACTGCATACAGTTATAGTTTCCTGGCGTTTCTGACATTCACTCTGACTCTAGGGTGCTAAAGAATAAGCTGGATGTGGTAACTTGCTCCAGAAGCCACAGATGGTACATGGGAGGTACTGGTTACCACTAGATGCAGAGAAGCCTGTTTCTCTGTTGGGGGAAACATCTTAGAAGAGTGACACCCCTCAGGCAGGATGAAGGGGTCAAATGGGATTGAGGAGTGATGTAGTGGATGGTATGGGTAAGAGACAACCAGAATATTAATAAACTACACGGATTAACATAAAGTTATTTGTCTAATTCGTGCTATGGAATTAAAATATGGGTCAACTAATGCAGACAAATAAAGTTATTTCTGACATGTCTTGAGGGTTATATTCAAATGTTAAAAGCACTATAAAAGCAAGGCATTCTTTTGAACCAAATTTACCTGAACTTGTTTCCCTAGCCAATCAAAAGCCATAAATCCAGGTTCTGTCCTTAGTATCAAAAGTCCAAGAAGAAACTGTAACCCAATACCCCAAAAGACAGGCCTCCAGTAAACCTATACAGAAATAGGAAGAGATATAGGTTATTAGAAAATGAATGCTGAACTCAGCATAAATGCCCAGAGGATCACTATTTCCTTGGAGGCTTCTCAGATGTGGCCTGTGATCCACCTTCTTTCGGAGGCCAAAGCAGTTGTGAGCAGAGAATCCCTCCATAGAATCATACCTAAAAATCTCAGGGTTGTGCTCCCTCTGTATAAACCTGAGATTAAGCCTTCAGTCCCAGCAGCGTATGTAACCATTTTGTCAAGATAAAATCACTTAGACACAAAGAGTAGTCTTAGAAGGGCCATTAAAAGAGGAAGAATCTGACCTTCCCGGTCATGCTGTAAATGTTAGATACATATAATTATTTCCCCATTTGGAGAATGGAAAGGCCGAACATGACTTCTCTGTGTGTCCAAGGTTTGTTGATTTGACAATTTGTAAGTGAATTAAGTGAAATTCCACCCTGTTGAGGGGCTCTCATTTCACAGTAAAAGGAACCAATTAACTCTAATGCAGACCCAGGGAGTGCAGTGGTAATGGACAATCAAGTGCTTACATTTTTGGAGTAGAGATGAGTGGCCTGCAAAGAACTATGGGATTGAAGGCACAGAAAACAGCAGAGATGGTCACCCGCACAGGGCAAAGAATTTGGATTGTATCAGGTGGCTTTGGTTTTGATTAATGCTCTTTTCTTGGATCAGCCTTTCAGCCAGTAAAGTCTTCCAGAGTTTGCCATTATGAAGCATATGTGAAAGTTTTGATATCTCAGAATTCTTGCCCATTTATTGGGTTACAGGCTGACAGAACAAGGGTGAGAATTGAATTCTATGTGAACAAAACTGCTTAAGTACAAATTTTTGCAGTAAAATAGCCTCAGTGGCAAACACAGATTTGATAACTGCAGAATCCAATGGTAGAATATTAGATTATTTGTTGGTCTGGGGAAATCTGAATAAAAATGGATGAGTTTTCTTTGTATGTGTGTTTGATGCGGGGGAAGGGGGTACATGAGTAGAAATCAGACTTGACAGGAGAGAGTATCTCACTGGTTGAGCAACTGGAAAATTACTGAGAATGAAAAATGAGAGAGCAACAGTACTATTAACATTCAGGAAAAGGGCACCTTAGCCACTGAAATATCATAGCAAGGTAAGAAAAATATTGAATAACAGTTCAACTCTCTCATACTCATTATTTTGAGCAATTTACACATAAGGGAAAAAAAGAGGGAAAAAGACCAAGAAATGATCGATTTCATGCTTACTTTGGTTGGGTGCTTGGAAAATAGAAATGTCAGGGTAATGTACATTATGAGTCCACCGAAGGACACCAGCTGCTGTTGGCCCAATTTGGCGGTGTCAAAGACCAGCCAGAAAATAACTCCCAGGATCAGGCAGCCCCAAATCGCCCTAAGAGAACAAAGAAGGAGTCTTTGGCATCATTTGCTGTGCTAACTTTAAAATCTTAAACAGGCTTCAACTAACAAACAAAAAATATTGAGTAACACACCCTGGCACCAGGAAATTATGCTTCTAGAAATTGCAAGAGACTCTTTTTGGGTGTAGCTATAAAGGCACATAGTCAAAAAATGAAGCAATGTGTCCACAACACTTGGGCCCTTTGGATATATAAAGGGATCAGAGAGGAGAAACGATGCTTGCAGAGGAAGTCCGGTGATTTCTTTGCGAGAGCTGCTGGGCGTCTTCATTTTGGGAGATGGGGGAAGTGTTACCTTCATCCCTTCAAGGGAGAGCTTGAAATGTGTCCTCTGCATTGGAGACCTCACCCAACCCTCAGAGAGCTAAGTCAGGCTTTAGCCTGGGTTCTGACTCCTTGGGGAATCTAGTGGGCATACGATAGCACTGAATCAGTGGATGGCAGAGCCAGGGAGGGTTGCTCTGTTGGGATTGTACAGCCCTGGTTTATTAGGCAAAGAATGTGTGAACTTTCCTGGTAGATTCCATGTGGGCCACACTGGGGAGAATGGGTTCTGGGTCCTACCCTGTAGGGCCACCTGGAGAGAGAGGAGGTCCCACAGAGAGAGAGGCTGAAAGAAAAGCCCTGAATGGTCACTTGCAGGACAGGGCGTCCTATAAGAGAGAGTTGGCTTTACTAATTCACAGACCTTTCCTCCCCAAAGAGTCCAGATTCGTGCCCAGAGCAGAAAGCCACCTGTCTAAGTCAGAACCGTCCCAACTTTTGGACAACATTTTATCATTTAGTGGCACTTGAAATTAAGACAGTTTGTAGGGACATTTGAGCACATCTTGCCTTATCTAGGCCTTGATATCCTGCTTGTAAAATGAAGGCATTTTTTAACAGATTATTCCCTAGGTTGTTTCTAGCTTCAATATCCCATAAATGAGGAAGCAATTTCAGAACAAATCTATGGAACAGTGTTGGAAAAGACTAACATCACTCTCAACCTCAGTAAGAGAACTAAGTGCATTTACCACTTCAGCCAGAACCAGTGGCTGTCCAGAAGCCTTTGGCCAGGAGAGAGGAACTGAGCGATTTGAGAGTCATATTTGGCCATGAAGTGATCCCAGATCACAAAGAAGATGACAACCACCGTGATCACGAAAAGAGGAAGGGCTCTGTGAAAGTTCAGCACACAGGCCGCAATCACCAGAGCCAGGTAACCTGTTGGAAGCAATGCAGACAGTGAACATCATCAAATCAGCTGGAGACCAGCCTCCAGCATTTATCTGGCTCAGCCAAGGGCAGGTTCAATCAGGAAACCATTGAACGCAGGGGTGCTCTTGATATAGGTATAGGTGCCTCTGATTATAAGGACTATATTTTGGGTTTTTAAAAAAAATTTAAAGTCTCACCAAGAATGCTAGGAGGACAGGGTGCTAGGTCTTTTTTCTCAAAGAACCTTCTGAATTCTTGAATCTTGTTGCCTGATCATTGGGACTCTTGCTTAGTACTACTTTTTCTGATACTCAGACTTAGCAGGTGAGCTTCCATCAGAGAAAGGCCAGGCACTAAAGCAACTACTGGCAAAAAGATATTGAGTCTTCTAGTTTGTAGCCCAGATTTGCCTAAGCTTGAGTAGGAAAATCTCTGAGTGTCACAACAACAATCCCTAAGTGCCACAGCATCTCTAAAGGAAAGAGGTAGGGCGATGACCAAGGTGATGGCTTTTGAAGATGATATTCTAGGGTAAGAACAACACGGTTTTCCATTAAAGGTCAGCAAACAAGTCTTTGCTTAAACAAGTTAAGTTTGGCCTACCACTTGTTTTTGTAGGTGGCAAGGACAGTTGTATTTGTATACTTGTATTTTAATTCTACAAATAAAGTCGCCCTGGCACGCAGCCACACCATCTGCTTACTTTGTACTACAATGGCATAGCTGTGTGGTTTTGAGTATGGTCTGCAAAATTCTCTCTGAGCCGGTACAAAGAAAGCTTTCAATCTGGCTTACTCTCTGTTCTAGCTGTGTGAGCACCGGGAAACTACGGACCTCCGGTGGGGCAGCAGTCTTGCATAAATGTCTGTGGGCTTGGGTGGGAGGGTTCACATTTTATAGACAGGAATGTTCTTTGAAATGGGCCCTGGAGCCCTTTGTTTGGAGGGAGTCAAAACAGGACACCTGCTCATCTGTGAAGACAGTCTAGTCCTGCTTTCAGGTAAGAGGAGTGGGCTACATGACCCTAGGCTCCTTCCTGTGTTGTGTTCATATAAAGCATTGATTGATTACTTATATCACCCCTTCAATTAGGTTTCTGCCTTGTGATTATCACCATGTTTTCCAGTTACCTGAATTTGCAATATCCAACCCTCAAATCCATACCACAATAACAAAGTGAGAGTAGGTGACCTAAAAAATTAGCTGCTGGCTGCATAAACAGGACAGGGAAGCTATCTACATGGGCTTCTCAAGTTGAGACCCACCACTCAGGGGCATCCTGGTTAAATTCTCTCCTCTCTGGATGATTCAGGGAAGTCAAGGGGAAGGGAAAGACTTATTTGTTTTCTGCAGAAAACAAATATTTGAGGGATCCTGAAAAAGAGACATTGGTATTCCATCCCCTTTTGTTACTTACCTGCTATTAAAATGCCCCAGGTCATGGACTTAAGGATTGTTTGGTGTTCCCTACAAAAATCATAAACTGTATCATACTTCCTTTCCAGGCACCTGTAACAACACAAAAGCAAGAAGGCAGACAGAGGTAAACACCACATACACGACATAACCTGGCATGCTAAAGCTAGATAAGGCTTTGTAAATCAAGCAGGCAAACACATTCATGAAGTTTGTGTCCTACAAAATAGAAATAAGAAACTCATTTCATTTTAGACTAAAATCAGCCATGGCTTGCTAACCTTTGCTGAATGGATGTGCCAAAGCCCTGAGGAATTACAGAGATGCAGAAAACATGCTCCTGGAAATAAAGCAGGGGACAGGATAACTAACCAAAAGCTGAGAATAAACCATAGGACGAGAGTGTTTCTCACTGTGCTAGGAGGGCCTCCATTAGCTTGTAAGCTCTCATGTAAATGTTGACTTAAAAAAAAAAATTCCAACGGGGACTTCCTTGGTGGCGCAGTGGTTAAGAATCCGCCTGCCAATGCAGTGGACACGGGTTCGAGCCCTAGTCCGGGAAGATCCCACATGCTTCGGAGCACCTAAGTCCATGCGCCACAACTACTGAGCCTGCCCTCTAGAGCCCGCGAGCCACAAGTACTGAGCCTGCCTGCCAGAACTACTGAAGCCCTCACTCCTAGAGCCCATGCTCCGCAACAAAAGAAGCCACCGCAACGAAGAGTAGCCCCTGCGTGCTGCAACTAGAGAAAGCCCACGCACAGCATTGGAGACCCAACGCAGCCCCCCCCAAAAAATCCAATGAACTCTCATCCCTTCTGGTTCTCCCTTCTGGTTCCCAAAGTGTGAGCAAGCTGGAGATTCCCTGTCCTCAGTCACCACCCTGTTTAGCAGGAGGCTGACAGACTTCACAGGATGCTTACATGTAAAGTAGAATTTCGCAGATTTGAGGGCCATTAACCAATGGGTTGTCATATAGCTTTTTCAGAACGTTCTGGAATTGTTGGTGTCTTTGTTTCTGTCCAGAGCTTTGTTACAGGGCAGTGTGTGGTGTGTGAGCCACGTGTACATCTGATCACTTCTTCTGGGGAGGACGTTGTCCACCAGTGAGGGAGTCTGGAGAGGCCACAGGCCTGTACCCATAGCAACTGTCCTTCCTTCTCCTGGGTGCTCCCGGTTGCCCCCCCCTCCCAGGCCCTCCACTTGCTCTGAAACCTGGCTTCCCTGCACATGTCTCTTTGCTCAATGTGCCTTCATTCTCCCACTTGAGGCCAAATGGAAGGAATTTACTCACACATTTAATCATGACCACTTCCAGGCCACTGGACAGGATTTCTAAAACAACCCCTTCTCCTATATAGAAGATTCTCAATCCCCAGGATCTCAAAGGACTCAGCCCCCCGCTGGGAGCTCCCGTCCCCTTGGTGAACACCTCCAGTTCCCTTCCCTCCAGCAGTCATGCCCCTGTGTCCAAATCTCAGCCCCCTTCACGTTTCAGGGCACAGCTCAAGCCCTTTGCTTCCACAGAGCCTTCTTGCATTTCGTCAAAGAGAGGCATTCCCCTGCGACTTATTCCTACTGTCTCCTTTGATTGTATTTTGTTATGAAGCCTTAACTGACTGTAACTTCGTGGAGAATAGATGTCTGTGAGCCCAACACCAGCACTGTGGACATTAAGAGTGATTGGCAGGACTTTGTCGAATTCTTAACTAAATGAAGTGGTAGTGCCTTCCTGGAACAATAGTTTATAGCTGTGAGTTGGGACCCATTAGTGGGTTGCGAAGTCAGTCACACTGTGCATGATGATCATCCTTAAACAAAAGCATAGGACATCTCAGAGTGTATCGTACATAGTGACGACAGGCATTATTTCATGAAAATTTTGTCTTATGTATGTGTGTGAATATGCGTACTGAGAATTAGAAACACTGTTCTAGAACATACTGAGGGAATATAAGTATAGTAAAGACTTAAATTTTTCATGGTCTAATTTAGGAAAGGCTGCTGATGCATTATCCTCAGCTGTGGATATAGTGTTATAAAGTAGCAGCGTTGGAGGGCAGCATGTAATAGGGCATGTCCATCTACTTTAAGTTGAATTTATCAGATTTTTTAATTGCAAGGAATGTGTATAGTGCAATTTGACACTTCATAAAAGGAAGTATTGTAGCTAGAAATAGTCTCTTTGGCCATTTGGTTATCTAGAGGCTGAACAACTCCCAATCTCCTGGTGGTTGTTTTCCATCCATTAACACGGATGAAACCTGAGTACTTCTGACCACCCAGGAGAAGCTCTCAGCCCCCAGGATCAGAGATTCATAAAGTAAAACAAAGGATGAAACTAAGTTCAGGTTTCCAAGGTGGCAAATATTCTTGATGATGTATATGTGACAAGAGTTTTTGATCCTAATGCTGGCTGAGTCTATCTTCTGATACATAAAAATAAAGTCCCTCAGAGACTTAGGAATTTACACCAAATTTAAATAGGAATTTAGAAAATTTACAAATACTTTCATGTTATGATAGAGTACCAGACAATCTTGGACTGGGAATCAGAAGCTGAAATTTAAATTAGCTTTGTTCCACTAACCTTGGCTAAATCACTTCTCTGAGCTTCATTTTTCTGATCGAAAAAATAAAAATAATAATTTGTCTCTCCTGCTAATGGGAGATAAGGACTTGCAACATTATGATATGACAAGGTAAGAGCAAATTTGTTGGGATTTAAAGTGAATTGGATTTTGAGAAATCAATTGCTTATTGATTGAACATTGTGAAGATGAATTAACTACTTTAGTATAGACTGGAGCAATTAGTTGGCAATTCTCAGCTTTAATTAGAAGATTGTCCTGGATATTGGGTTCCCAGGACATTAGCAGTTTGAATTTACCACGTTGATTATTCTAGAGCTCCATTACTTTTTCTGAAAATGGTGTTGGGTGGGTAGTAGGGAGGGGAGATTGGTGGTGACCATCTCTGATAAATCATAATTAATGTTAAAAATTAGATGAGAATTTGAAAAGTGTCAAAACCACTGTGTTGAGGAGGTAAGTGTGGTAATTTCTATGGTTTAAACCTGTACCCTTTTTGATGCGTCTCTTGGTCATCCTCATCTTCATCATTTCTTGGAGAATCCTGCTCAATGGTCACTTGCTCTTCACCCTCAAAATCAAACATTGGAACAGAGATGGAATGATGAGAATCCTGAGCACAATGGACTCTGATCTCTTTTGCTCAGAATTTTGGCTAGGAAATTTTTCCAAAAGGTCCTTTTAAATTATTTTGCAAGATGATGGCTCCAATTATCTATGCACAGACATTTTCCCCCTTGTCACAAAAAATCCAGGTTCATACATTTCTCCTTTTACTTCAGAAGGAGCCATTGGTATTTTCTCCATTTCTTCAGGGAGAGGGCTAATATCTCTGCTTTTAGTTCCTGTCTCTACATTCAACTCCTGCTCTGTTTTCAGGCAAGTGCTAAATGAAGTTAATACCAGAGGCTGCACAAATCTTCCTTAATACTCTGCCAGCCCCACTTTCCAAAGGACTGAGACTAAGGCTGGTTTTATTTTCCTGGCAGCCCAAGGCTTGGTCTGCAGATATGAACAGTAGCTCAGCATCTTCAAGAGCTGTTAAACTACCCTTGGGAACTAGGGTTCTTCTATCAGTTGGGTTAAAGGGAAATATTTCCCTTACTCAGCTAGCACTTGCTCTAACTGACTGAGTGAAGTATATACCTGGGCTATCTTTTATGGACAATCTTTCTAGGTACTGTTTAGCTTTGAAATATCCATGACCCATCCTATTCTTGTGATGGTGGAGAGGATTTCCTGCGTCTCATCATTTTGCAATAATGCCTCAAACTGGTCCAGCTATTGTAAGCAAAGGCAAGGGAAGGCTGGGAGGAAGCTGGTAGATGTGGAGCAGTTTTGAACATGCCCTAAGAGGTATAATGCCAAATCTCAGCTCTAGCCTTTTGTCAGATCCCATGAGACCTTCAATTCTCTTTACTTTAACCGCCCCTCCAACCCCCCACCCCCCCGCCAAGAAAAGAAATTAGTTATTAGCATGTCTCTGAGCTGAAGGGATCCTCAAAGATCATATAGTCCTTTGATACCAAACTCTCATTGTACTCCTGACTTAGACTGCCTTCCTGTTGTGGGCTGGGCCTCAGGTACAAGGAAGGTGATGGGATGATTGTAATAGAGACCAGCTGAGTCCAAGCTGTAGCTGCAAAGGTCAGGAGTACAGAGAAGCCTTTCTCATTTTTTCCCACCTAACACCAAGCTTGGCCAATAGTCAAAGTTTGGTAAGTTTTTGATTTAAATGATCATAATTATTATTTTCTTAGAGTGAAATTGTCCCAAATTACCTACTATATGGAATGTCTAGCATTCCTATTGTTTTCTTTTTTGGTTTTTAACCCTTTCTCATCTTTAAAACAAAACAAAACAACAACAAGACCTTCTTGACCCTACAACCATGGGACATCTACCCTCCCTCCTTCCCTTCACAGCCAAACCACTTGAAAGAATTGCCCTTACTTTTGGTGACATTCCTTCACATCCTGCTCACTTTTCAAGCCACTGTGACCAGATGTCTACTGAGATGGCTTCTGCTAAGGTCACCTGCCAAGGTAACCTAAGGACCATTGTTGCCAAATCTAGTGGCTACTCCTCAGTCTTCATATTTATGTTTACAATAATACCTAATTTTTTGTTTTTGACTTTTTTTGGTGAAACAATTAAAAAAAAAGACTTTTAAGAGCAGTTTTATTTAGGTTCATAGCAAAATTGAGAGGAAAGTACAGAGATTTCCCATACTTTTCCGCCCGCCCCCAACCCCATGCAGCCTTCCCCATTATTGACTTCCCCACCAGAGTGGTAGGTTTGTTACAAATGATGAACCGACAAAGTCTGTAGTTTACATTAGGGCTCACTCTTGGTGTCCTATATTCTGTGGGTTTGGACAAGTATTTAATAACATGCATCAACTGTCATAGTATCATACAGGATGTTTTCACTGCCCTAAAACTCCTCTGTGCCTATTCACCCCTCCCTCCCATCTTGGCAGCCAGTGATCTTTTTACTGTCTCCACAGTTTGCCTTTTCCAGAACATCATCTGGGACCATACAGTATGCAGCCTTTTCAGATTGCTTCTGTGACTTAGTAATACACATGTAATGCTCCCCCATGTCTTTTCATGTCTTGATAGCTCATTTGTTTTCAGTGCTGAATAATATTTCATTGCCTGGATGGACCACAGTTTATTTATCCATTCACCTACTGAAGGACATCTTGGTTGCTTCCAGGTTTTGGCAATTTTGAATCAAGCTGCTATAAGCACCCGTGTGCAGGTTTTTGTGTGAAAAGAAGTATTGTTTTCTCTTGTTTTGGTTGAAGACTACTTAGTGATATGAACACTTTTTACAATATATTAAATGACCCAATAATATGAAAGCATGATCCTAATATATGTGACATGTGCCTATTGATGTATATGTACTTGTATTAAAGTGAGCTATATTCTAATATGTTAGGCACTGATTTGTTTGTTTTTTTGCTGGAACTACAGGTCATTAGGTCATTTTTTGTCTTCCAAATTTTGCTGCAATAATATTTCAAATTTTCTACTTCAAATAAGTTATTCTTTCATCATGAGCAAACTTCCCCCAGAATATGCACCCAAAATTACTTTTGTAAGGGTGATCTAGATGGGCGATTCGCTCCCTTTTTAGCAGAAGACTGTCTTCAAATGAGATCCTTACACCTGTAACTTATGTAATATTGTACAAATCTACTTCATTAACATTTTTTAATTAAAAATAAATCTATACTCAGTGAAAATATCCATCAAAAGGGAACACATAATAAAGATATTTTCAGGCAAACAAACAAAAAAATGAGATCCTACCCAGAATTCAATATATAAAAGAAATAAGAGGTGGCATTGTCACAGAGCACCTCGGCTTGCTGTGTACACTTAGATGTCGCTGAGGAACCGTAGGGTGTGATGCACACAGTTTTAGAACCATGTCTTAGAACCTTACTCTTTTCTGCCTCATTTACTTTAAAATTGAGATGTTATCTGCTGAAGCCAGTGCCTTCTGCCTTGGGATGGAGTTTGGAATCTAATAGTAATAGTGAAGTGTCAGAGTAAGCCTGGGTACTCTCCCCGTCAGAGAACTCTGAGCACAGTTGTATAAACACAAAATCTTTGTTTGGGCATGTGTGTTTTCCTCATGACTGCCTTACAGACTCAAATTACCATTTAACTCATTCCTCTGAGTGCCAGCTGAGTGCCGTGCTTTCTGTCCCCATAGCTGTTGCACAGTAGTTAACGTGGTGATAGATTCACTCACTGCTTTCCAGCCGTACCTGTTTGCCATTTTCTTGCTCTCTGTTTTGCACAACTCTACTCCTTAGTGAGTTGTCATTTCCGGATGTTTTCTGGTTTTCAAAGCACTCGTCATCATACTAGGAAAAAATACAGATTGCAAAAATAAGATTTCAGAGCCACAAAACAAATGTTCTTTCAATGAATGATACCCAAAGACTTTTGAGGGACGGGATGGCAAAGATGAGGTGTTTAGATGAGTCTGCTGATTAAAGAAAGAACCAGGGAAGCTTGGCACATAAAGAAACACAGATGATTTTGAAAAATTTTGACAATTTACTGTCTGTAGAAGCCACATAAGGAAGAAGAAAGTTATCTCAATCTAGAAATGTAAATCCTTTTGTGTTCTTTTTTTGGGCCACACGGCTTGTGAGATCTTAGTTCCCTGACCAGGGATTTAACCTGTGCTCCTTGCAACAGCAACATGGAGTCCTAACCACTAGACCACCAGGGAAATCCCTAAATCTTTCCGTTTTCTAATATGATCTTACAGTACATATGGTGGCTGATACCAAAAATAAGTTTTAGTTGAAAATTTGGATCACATATTTCACTTATATTTTTTTCCTTAAAGATATGGATGCTTTAAGTGCAAGACTAACAAATGCCTAAATGTTTTGCATTATTTCACTTCTTTGAGTAAACATGTTCTTGATCAGTTTTCTGCTTCTGATCTTTCTTTCCTCCACATCTGTCTATATTCCTTCTTCGTTACTCTTCCTCCATAATAAAGTGAGTCTCCTGGCCTGCGGAGTCAGTTGCACACTCCTTGGCATGGTTCAGGGCTGCACGATCCAGCTCATTTATCTCACTCCGCTCCCCTTGCAGGAACCATGAAGGAACACCCAGCCAAACAGAACTACGTGACTTTCTCCAAGCCCAGGCTAAGTTCTCCTGCCCTGAGCTTGCCATATTCTCTCTGCTATCCTGCAAAATTATAAAATATTAGCAATTCCTTATATGACAATATTTAAAGATAAAGCATGGTTCAGCCAGTACCGTGATGACCTGAAAAATGCACGTGTTGTACGTGAAGGTCATTGTTTATATCTGAAACATGGATGATTTTGGTTTGTGTTGTTATGATAGATAGGATTGGTGTGGTCCAACTTGAGGAAGACAGAACGGAACAAAGTTGCTGGGTCTAGGCCATGTAACTTTCTAATAAGCAGAGCTGAGATAAGCATGTTGGTTTCCAACCTCCTTTCCAACACATCACACAGACTTTCAAATTATAAAACAAAACAAAATATAGTAAACCATGGGCCAGATCATTTTATTCTTAGATGTTGGATCTATGAGATGTTAAAATGTGTTTTGTTCGGTTGAAAGCCTTCTCTGGTAGTAACGAGCATAAGAAAAAAAATGGCTTCTTTTGTGAGACCAATTTTATTTTTACTTTTTTTGATTTTACTTTAATAAACTGAGTAGGGTTTGCTCTTGGATGGGTATCCTGACCCCCTACCGCTTTTTCCAAATGTGACAAATACCTGGTTCATTTATCTTTTACCTACTTTGGGTGGGTCCAATCTTTCTCCCATCTCAGCCCAACTAGACATTTTATATGGTACTTCATTCCAAGTAAGGCAACAGATAGATAAACAGTGTCGGGTAGGTGTCTATATCTTTTCAGGACATGTTCCCTCCTAGCCCTGTCGGCTGTGACCATGTCTTTGAAAAAGGAACAAGTGTATGAGTTTGATTTTAAATTTAAATCTCTGGCTGGCCCCACAGATCTAGGGAAAAAAAATGCAATTCCAACTTGTATTACATGTTCCATTTACTGAAACACAAGAGTGTATAAATGTGAATAAAGTCTTAACTTCCAGCACACATATGATTTATGCATAAAAGTTTTGTGGCCAAACAGCTTTATTGTGTTACAAGTGCTCATACCTTACTTTAGCCCAGTTCCTTGCACATAGCAGATACTAACGATTGTTTGTTGAATTAGTGAACCAAGGTGACTTTAACGTTGCATTATCTAGTGCAGTGTAGTACCTCTGGATACTTGGTATCAAAATATAGTGGTATGGGGTTTCCCTGGTGGTGCAGTGGTTAAGAATCTGCCTGCCAATGCAGGGGGTATGGGTTCGAGCCCTGGTCCAGGGAAGATCCCACGTGCCATGGAGCAGCTAAGCCCGTGCGCCACAACTACTGAGGCTGCACTCTAGAGCCCGCGAGCCACAACTACTGAAGCCCATGGGCCTGGGGCCCGTCCTCCGCAACAAGAGAAGCCACCGCAATGAGAAGCCCGTGCATGGAAACGAAGAGTAGCCCCCGCTCGCCGCAACTAGAGAAAGCCCGTGTGCAGCAATGAAGACCCAACGCAGCCAAAAATAAATAAGTAAATAAATAAATTAAAAAAAAAAAACCCAAAACAAAATATTGCGGTATGTGGGGGACAATACATATAGTGTGGAAAGATGACAAAGTGTTGCTAATTGCTGAAGCTGACTGATGGGCACTTAGGGACTCCCTTTACTATTCCTACTTTCATGGGTGCTGAAAATTTGCTTAAAAAAAGTTAAAAATAAAACCCAGCAAGAGTTGGTGGAAAAACAGGACACAGGTAACAGAGGGGGCTTGGTCCTTTAGGTCCCTAATTACACATGTGACCCTGGGCAGGTCATATCTTCCTACCCCTCCGTCCACCCATCTAGACAACATACTTTCGACTTGTTCTCATGGTCCCTTCCAGAATCCTGACATTTTCTGGTTCCAAGAGCTTCAGCTTCTTGGTGCTGATTATTCCTGCCACCTGGTGGCAGAATCTGAGACTTCCTTGTGGAACAAGAGGGTGGAGCTGTCCTTTTTAAGGTTAATGAAAGAGGAAGTGGGGGGAGGGTTGGCGTGAGGGTGGGCATAAGCGGCAACAAGAGCACCTCTGGATGTATTTGTAACATTAATGGGATTGTTTTACCCCTGTTAGATTACATGCTTTGGCTTTTTTTTTGATTTATTTATTTTATTTATTTTTACTTTTGGCTGCATTGGGTCTTCGTTGCGGTGCGCGGGTTTCTCATTGCGGTGGCTTCTCTTGTTGCGGAGCACGGGCTCTAGGCGTGCGGGCTTCAGTAGTTGCGGCGCGCGGGCTTCAGTAGTTGTGGCTCAGGGGCTCTAGAGCGTAGGATCAGTAGTTGTGGCACACGGGCTTAGTTGCTCTGTGGCATGCGGGATCTTCCTGGACCAGGGCTCGAACCCATGTCCCTTGCATTGGCAGGCAGGTTCTTAACCACTGTGCCACCAGGGAAGGCCCCATGCTTGGGCTTTTTAGTGTTTTCAGAAGAACAATATCTCCCGGCTGAGGATTTCCAATAGAAACAATTGGGGTGTTTGTGGGTGTTAATTGGTGCCTGAAAAATGACCCTTAAAACACCTATATCTCTGCTTCTTTTAAAACTGGAGTCATGGGAGCTATATAACAGGTGGCCCATGATTACTTCTTAGCTCATTGTTTCTTTCCATCTATTTAGCAATTCAGATTAATAGATAACTTAGTACACCGGACTCCTATAACCATGACTGTATTCTGAGGGCACACCTGTCCACTGACTGGGTAACAACATTGTGGGTGTCGTGTATGAGTATTTCTAAGCAATTTACAGCACACCACTTTTAATTTCTCTACTTAGTGTTAGTGGCTGAGTGTCCTAAGGGTATGATGTTGCACTGGGCTCCCTCTGGAGGCAGATCCTTGAGCCAGGAGTACACGGTGCCTGGGTTTTTTTCCCTACCTGTCTTTTTTTTTTTTTAAATAAATTTATTTATTTATGTGTTTATTTCTGGCTGTGTTGGGTCTTCGTTGCTGGGTGTGGGCTTTCTCTGGTTGCGGCGAGAGGGGGCTACTCTTCTTTGCGGTGCACGGGCTTCTCATTGTGGTGGCTTCTCTTGTCGCGGAACAGGGTCTCTAAGTGCGTGGGTTTCCATAATTGTGGGTCGTGGGCTCTAGACCACAGGCTCAGTTGTTGTGGCGCACGGGCTTAGTTGTTCGGCGGCATGTGGGATCTTCCCAGACCGGGGCTTGAACCCGTGTCCCTTGCACTGGCAGGCGGATTCTTAACCACTGCACCACCAGGGAAGCCCCCTACCTGTTTTTCTGATCTTGCATTTCCATGCTGTTCGAGCAACTATAGATCTACAGTGGCTGTTCCAGGGGGTACAGGTGGACAGAGGCCTTTTTAATTAATTTCTTCCTTTCATTCAGTTTCTAAACCATATAACTTCTAGAACATAGAAGTTCTGAAAACTGAAATCACCCTTCCCCGCCATCTATTTGTGGAGGGGGTCCCCTTCTATAGAATTTTAGCTGAACACATCACCACCCAGAATGAAGGCTATGATTCTAGGCTTCCCTTTTAACTAGGTTCTGGCCAATGAAATGTAAATAGAAGTGGAGCCCTGAGTGGGGCAGCTTGGGGTCGCTTCTTAAGAGATGGCTGGCAGGTCCTCTTTGTCCCTTCTATCTTCTCCTCTGTCCTGCTGCCTGGTGTGTGGATGGTTCCAGCTGGGACATGAACACCCGGGCCCCATCCTGGTGATGTCAAAATGGTGAACCGGGGGGCGGGGGGTTTGAGCCCCTGAAAACCTTGAGCTGTGCTACCACCTCCTGACTTACCTGCAGGAAACAAAATTCTCCCTTATTACTTTTGGTTTTCGCTTTTATGTGCACCTAAACTTACATAATATTTAGTAGGTACAAGACACATCATGAAACCCTTTACAATGTTTTGTATCAGTATTTGATCCCGGACTTCCCTGGTGGCGCAGTGGTTAAGAATCCGCCTGCCAGTGCAGGGGACACAGGTTCGATCCCTGGTCTGGGAAGATCCCACAGGCCGTGGAGCAACTAAGCCTGTGCACCACAACTACTGAGCCTGCCCACCCTAGAGTCCATGCGCTGCAGCTACTGAGTCCACGTGCCACAACTACTGAAGCCCACGTGCTCTAGGGCCTGAGTGCTGCAACTACTGAAGCCCGCGAGCCTAGAGCCCGTGCTCCGCAACAAGAGAAGCCACCGCAATGAGAAGCCCACGCACCACAATGAAGAGTAGCCCCTGCTCGCTGCAACTAGGGAAAG